ATTAAGGGCATAACCATAAATTAAGTACTGTTTTTTTTTCTTTTTTTTTTTTTTTTTTCTAACGAAAAAGTACAGTTTTGTGAAAGATAATTATATTTTTCATACTCTTCATACACACAACATTTTTACGTTATGTACGAAGATAAAGTGAGAGAAACTTTTCTCAAGCTCGAGAACCTGGCTTGAATGGTGTTATAAGAAAGAAAATTGAATTTGAGCAAACTAGTGCACTCAGTGGATAAAGTACCTTAGTACACGAGCTTATAAAAGGCAATAAAATTTATATTTTCATTTTTCACTTCTATATTTTTTTTTTATAAACGTATATTAACAAATTGCAATATTTTGCAGCAACAGTAGCAAAATAAAAATTGAAAATTATTTTATCACAAAATATGAAATTCCTTGAAATTAAAGAAATTTATTTGCGAAAAATCTTATATTCATTTAAATTTCATTATTGCGCTTACACGAAGAAGAAATGCTAGAAATCAACAGATGATGAAAAATTTATTCCTATCGCATTTCTTATTTTTAAAATAACAGAGCGAGTTTTAATTTGTAAAATTAGTCATGGATCTCTGACTATTAACTTTCGAATTCCAGCAATCCATGGACCCCACACACATTAAGAATCTCTGGCGTGAAATATTCTTGACACCATTGAAACGAACGAGCTCGTCTTATTATTATTATAAATGGGAATCGCGAAATTTTCGACTCAGTTCTCCCATCCAATGTAATTTTATATTTTTCTATGCGCTTGTATTTGATGAGCTTCATCGAGCGATTCTTCGAGCTTTCATGTATATCGTAATTCCTCGCAGTTCGACGAACTAAAATTGGATGGGAAGATTCTATCTGGCACGTATCGCGGATTGTATCTCTGGTTATGTCGAACCGCACTCCCATATAAATAGAAACGCCACTATGTCCTGTTATCGATCTTTTGAGCTCTGGTTCGACCAAGGATGACCGTGCACATGACAAAATGGTTATAGAGTGAAAAATATTCCTAGAAATTCCTAGAAAAAATCACGAATATTGAACATATGCCAAACATATGGCAAATTATTTGCGATCAATGGTCAACTGAGTTATAAAAGGCGAATTATCTCAGCTCAAGTAACGAGAGGTAACGAAAAACGGAAAGATTCCCACGAGGAGACACAATGGAACTATTGAGGAAAAAAATTAAAGACCGCATTTTGTTTCGATGAAAATTTTACCTAATTTTATGAAATAACGGTAAAACGTAAAGACATAGATTTATTATGATTTATTACGACTGACCCTCATAAATAACTAAATTTCTTTCTTCTCGTTTTTTTGTCATATCGTTAAATATTTTAT